CTTAGTTCCATGGTTTAAATATCATAATATCTGTTTCAAACAGGGGTATTAGCTGCCTAATACATAGAACTGCACAGACATAACAGCACTTCACCATAAACCACAATTTGTATTAGATTTTATATATACAAGGGAATTCATCACTGAATTAGTAATCCAGAGATTACTAGTTTTATGTTTGCCACCATAGCAATAAAAATTGTTTGTAATCAAAAGTCTAATTATGACCATTGTCAATTGCCATTAAAAACCCATCCTGTTCATTAATGTCCTTTAGGGAAGGAAACTGCCTTCCATATCTGGCCTGGTTTACATGTGAATCCAGATGACAACAATATGGTTGACTCTTAACTGCCCTGTAAAATGGCTTAGCAAGCCACACAGCTGTACCAACTGCGAGAAAGGAATCAAGGAACAAAATCAGACAGACTACCTAGCATTGACTAAGACATTGACAGTAGTCAATGTGTGTGTACCATGCTGAATTATATTGCTGTTCCTTCAGTCTATCTGGGTCAGAATTCTAAAACTCTCTCCCTAATGGCACTGTGGATCTATCTGCAGCAAATAGACTGCAGTAGTTCAAGAAGGCAGCTCACGACCATCTTGTCAAGGCCAGTTAGTGATGACCAATAAATTTTGGCCCAGCCAGCGACACCCAAATTGAATAAAATTAAATATTTGACATGAGTTCACAGTAGGATTTGCTTTTCCTGGTATTCAGGCCTTGCTATGGTTTCAGAATTAAACAGAAGTAAACACCAATGATCTTTTATAGTTCTGTTTAAGAGGGAGGATAAGTCATTTATAAACTGTACAGTTTTCCTTTTGATCTTCAGCTAGTTGGGTTGAATAGTTTATCAATAAATAAATTATTACCAGAGCTGTAAAAAAGTGCTTTGTATTATCAAATTATTATTATCATTAAGAACATAGAAGCAGGAGTACACCATTCGACCCATCAAGCCTGCTCCGCCATTCAGTATGACCATGGCTGATCGTGAAGTTTAATAACCGAGCCCACCCTCCCTGATATTCCCTGATCCCTTCAGCCATAAAGCCATTTTGACTTCCTTTTTGAAAACATGTAATGTTTTGGTTTCTACCACTTTCTGTGGTAGTGAATTGCACAGACCCGTGACTCTGTGGGTGAAGAAAATTCTCTGCATCTCAGTCCTAAAAAAAGGTTTACCCCTTATCCTTAAACTGTGACCTCTGGTTCTGGACTCGCCAACCATCAGGAACACCCTTCCTGCATCTAACCTGTCTAGTCATGTTAGAAATCTTATGAGTTTCTATGAGATCCCCAGATTCTTCTAAACTAGTGAGTACAATTCTAACTTATTCAATCTCACCTCATACATAAGTCCTGCCATCCCAGGAATCAATTTGATAAACCTTAGCTGCACTCCCTCGCTAGCAAGAACATCCTTCTTCAGATAAGGAGACACATTCCTGGTGTAGCCTCACTAATGCCCTGTTTAATTTCAGCAAGCCCTCCTCGTTCCTGTTCTTGGATCCTCTCATTATGAAGGCTGACATATAGTTTGCCTTCTTTACTACCTGCTGCACCTGGGCACTTACTTTCAGTGAGTGGTGCATGAGTATGAATGACGCTCAAATTATAGTGCTGTTGCAGATGAGTAGGGAAGAGTGTTGGTAGAATTACATGATGTCTGTTTTGACAACTCTGTAGAGTCACCATTGTATATTGCATTTATTCATAATTTGTCATGTAGGATACCAGTGACAATTGTAAACATGGCCAGGCATCCATAACATGGCGGAATCTTCCAAAGGGTAATTTAAGTCAGTGTGTCAAAAGCTATTCCGTGATTGAAGAAAAGCATGTATAAATGGAGATAACACGGTGTGGAGCTGGAGGAGCACAGCAGGCCAAGCAGCATCAGAGGAGCAGGAAATAGATACTGTGTTTTCTATGTGGTGGAAACATCATAATTTGATTTGATTTGATTTATTGTAGTCACATCTACCTAAATACAGTGAAAAGCTTTATTTTGTGAGTAGTACAGGCAGATCATAGCAAACAAAGACATGGGTGCTTAGACAGAGTGAGGCATACAGGTTAAGGAGGTGCGCAAAGCAAGATCAACATTATTTGAAGTTATAGAGTCCATTCAGTAGTCTAATAGCGTCTGGGAAGAAGCTGCTCTTGAACCTGTTGATGCATGTGTTCAATCTTCTGTACCTTCTGCCTGATGGAAGAGGTTGTAGAAGAGCATTACCAGGGTACGAGGGGTCTTTGATGATGTTGGCAGCCTTTCTGCAGCAACAAGAAGTGTAAATAGAGTCCCTGGATGGGAGGTTGGCTTCCATGATGGTCTGGGCTGTGCACACAGCTTTCTGTAGTTTCTTACAGTCCCGGGCAGAACAGTTGCCACACCATGCCATTATGCACCCAGATAGTATGCTCTCTATGGTGCACCTGGAACCTACAAGGTATGCTGCAGAAATTCTCGAAAACTCTTTAGACAACACCTTCCAAACCACACCCAATTTCATTTAGAAGGACCAGGGCAGTAGATACATGGGAACACCAGCATCTGCAAGTTCCCCTCCAAGCCACTCACCATCCTGACTTGGAAATATAATTGCTATTCCTTCACTGTGGCTTGGTCAAAACTCTGGAAAACCCTCCCTAAGAGCTTTGTGGGTCTGTCTACAACACATGGACTGGAGTGGTTCAAGAAGGCAGTTCACTACCACCTTCTCAAAGGCAGTTAGGGACAGACAGGCAATAAATGCTGGTCCAGCCAGCGATACCAATGACGCCTGAGTGAATAAAAACAAATTTAAAATACCTTTATTGAAATTTGACCTGTTATAGAGATAACGATTGTTTTCTGTGCAATAGTCACTTTCAGTTTCAACTGCAATACCCTGTATGATTGGATGATTTACCACCTCTCACTACTTCAGGCCAAAAAATAAAGAAAGGATAAGGTAAGGCAGAGCTAAAATCCAGCGAACACAAGTATAATTCCCATCTTGGCACCTTCATTGAATATAATTTTAAAGAAAATATATAAATAAAAGTTGCTCATTGTAAAACACTAACTGACTTGTCACCGGGGGAAAGAGATGATGCAGGTAACTGATCCAGCCTAAATTTAACTTGAATTCTAAACCTATTTGTTTGAGGCCACTTAACAACTTCAAGATGGTTAACTGTGGGTCCCAAGGCTATTTTTAAAAAATGTGCACCTAATCAATCCCAAGCCAGATAACTGGAAGATGCTTCTTTTCCCTGGAGTGACATGAGTGGAAAACGATAATACAGAAAATAAATCTAATTGGCAATTAACAGAAGAGGCTTGTTTTTACTTTGTTGACAGTAAAGCGCTTATTCAAGTTTACAGACTGAGGCAGGGGCTGTTCCTGTCAATGTCCTGGTCTGTGAGGGATTATCTTATTTTGAGTATATTGATGGTCTTGATAGATACAATTTTTGACTGTAGGCATTGTTCCCTGAAAGCTACATGTGGACCTAGCCACTTGGGTCTGCACAGTGATCGGTGTGCTGTTGCCATTCGTAGCATTGACATCTGATTCCAGAAGTTGCTGCTGCACACAGACCTCCAAGGAAAAGAAATTAGCAGGAATGCTGAGTGTATGTGAAACAAGGGAGTAATGATGTTGTGGAAAGTAAAGTCCAAATATTGACTAGGACACTTTGATGTAACATGCATGATTTATACATATTTTAATATCATTTATTTTGAATTGGAGGCATGTGTGATTTCTGTGTATGTGAAAGGTTTAATAATTAATATTTCTGAAGCTATGTTAATCTGTTAAAATGTAGCATGAAAAAGAGACTTTGTGGACATATAGGGGCTTTGTATTCAATGAGTGAGTTTTACAAGTGATAGAGTTAACAGTTGGGTTTCAGACAGAACAATTCAGAACTTGTTTTCAATTTGTGTAGGGGAAGCAACCATATCTTGAAGAAAATCCTTTGGTTTGAGGTTTGTTGGAACAGATATGGAGAACAGTTGCTCCCTAAAGAAGGGAGATAGTTTAGAATTATTAAGAAATGGGTTACCTCAGTGTAAGGAATTGAGTTTTAAAGTTCCAGACCAGAAGTGTTTGGTTAAAACCTTGAAGGGATTATTTGAAGTTGAGAATATCTGGACTTGATTGTTTGAAGATTCAATGAAGTGGTAATTAGGTTCTGAAGACCAGAGAATAGAATCCACAGCTAAGTCAAACCCAATGTGTGATAGAGAAAGGAATTCTCTCTCTGGTGTTCAGAGTACTGTAAAAGGATACTGTTGGAATTAGTGTGGATTTTAGATTATGTGTGTTTCAAAATCTTTAAACTTTTATGTAAATACTTTGATTTTTTCTATTTCATCTTTATTTCTTTTGTGCAATAAACTTCTATTTACCAATAAAACAAAATCTGCAGCATCCTGTTATTTAGTGAGATCACCTTGTTAAAACAAAAAAAAATATAATCTATCAAGCTAGATTTAAGTCTGGGATCTGACTTGTCAAGTAATAGCATCAGCTGGGATCCTAAGTATCTAATAGAATGTTGGAACAGACTCACGGGACTACATGGCCTACTTTTGCTCCTTTAAAGGAGATGAGAATTAGCGAATTTTAACTTCTTCTTCTTCCACCAAGCAGAAGAAAGTCGCTGCTAATAGGTAAGGAAATTATAAATGTTTACAACTGTGCAGAAGTGACAGAATTTCCTGCGGGTGTTGGTTTTTTTTGTTAGTGTCATATCTGTTGTTGATGTTGAGTTGCCAGGATACAGTTGCAAACACCACTCCTACGTATCAATCCAGAAACAAAACAACATACCAGAGAATGGTATTCTGCCCTAAAATATACCCTCACTTCTTCCGTACCAATCTGAATCCAGACTAACAGTGCAAAGTAGATGTTTCAGAAAGTAACCCATATTTCCTTCTAGTGAAGTTGTTTAAGTTTGGTTTGTGACGTTTTTGCATTTTATTTTGATTTAGGAGGAAGTTTATTTTCGGCAAAAACTGAAAGATTATCAACCAGAATGGCATAAAGATAAATTCTAAAAATGAAATCAAATATACAACTGGATTCCAAGACATCAGCATGACAGAAATCGCAACATCTGTTTGGAAGCTAGTTCCAAAATGTATGCTGCCTACTCTAAACACTGGCTTAACTCCACATGAACTTTACACGGATTAACGTTCAGGAAAACAAAGTTTCATTCATTTTCATTCAGAAAACTTTCGTTATTCTGACCAGACTTCCTTTTGTCGAAATATGTGTCAAACTGCTGCTCAACAACCAGCCTGTCAAACAATAATTGAGTTATAAAGAGAAATCACTTTGAAGAGGGAACAAATTGCAGAATTTGTCAACACTGGTTTCCTCAGAAGATCTGTTTCCTGGCTTTCCCACATTTTTGTCAGATAAGTGGAGAAGTATCATTCAAGAAGGTGTCGCAATGTTTGCTCACAGGCTTCAGAAACAGCAGTGGTTTTTCTATTTGCTGGTTTTTACCGTGCTCCTGTTATCTGTCGCTTTTACTTACACGGACAAGATTGAGTTTGCACTTAAAAAATTATTCGCTGTGAGAAAGTGCAAATGTAACCGTTGTGTGTCAGAATTAAATGAATCAGCGTGGTTTGACAAGCGATACATTCCCACTATGTATCCCATTCTGACCAAAAATAGCTTCACACTTCCTGAGGCATCCTATAAATGGTGGCAAGTAAGTACACTGCACAAAGGATGTGGTCACTTAACTATATTGAGGGAGAAACCTGTTGATTGATAAAGTGTTATTGAGTACATGCTTGACATTGAAAGAGACTGATGACTAAAAGTTCTTCTGGTCCATATTGAATATATTATAGTGTTTAAAACAAACAATGGATACATTTGTGTGGCTGGCGCTTGACAAAAACATTCAGTGAAGATCGGCAAAGGTCTGCAGGGCAGGAGCAGGCAGACATCACTGTATTACCTGATACCAAACTGGAACAGGAATTTGGTACCCACTCTCACCCATCAGTGCGTGCGTGGTTCTTCTCACTGCTGATGGCATTGTTCACTTATTGAATATTTGCCACCCACTTGCTCATTTCCCCACACCAAACCTCTCATTGCCTCCTCTTTTCTGATTTTGCACAATGCCTCTGTTGCTACCCCTCACCACCTCACTTGCTGCTTCACTCACCATCTCACATCCATTCAAGAATACACAAGAATTAGGACCAAGGAGAGGTCATTTGGCCCGATGATCTATCCCACCATTTGATAAGGTGATGCCAAATCTAATTATAGTGTCAATTTCACTTTATTGTCTTCCACCAAACCCCATATTGCTTGATTCTCTAGTTGATTAAAAAACTATGTAACTCAGCCTTGGATGCATGAAATGATCCAGCCTCCATTGCTATCAGTGAAAAGAATTCCTCAGATTTACAAGAAGGGTCTAGACCCAAAATGTCAGCTTTCCTGCTCCTCTGATGCTGCTTGGCCTGCTGCGTTCATCCAGCTCTACACCTTGTTGTCTGAGAAAAAGAAAACTTCTCTTTGCCTCGATGTTAAGAAGGATAATTTTTAAAATATGTCCCCTAATTCTAGCCCTCCACAAGAGAAAATATCCTCTCAAAATGCTCAAGAACCTTATAAATTTCAACAAGGTAAACTGTCTTGTAGACTCCAATGAGTTTAAGCCCAGCTTGCTCAATTTTTCTTCAGACATAAAACATTCTCTTCATCCCAAGAATCAAACGAACCTTCTCTGAACTGCTTCAGATACAATTATATCCTTTCTTAAGTTAAAAAACTGTAAATATGCATAATGCTCCAGATGGGGTCCAGATATAGTCCTGTAGCAACACTTATTTTACCTGGTGTCCACCACTAATTTGAATCTTTCTAACCAAAGAATGCATCTTACAGTTATCCAAGATGTCTGTATGGATACTCCCTCTTTGTCCATCACTCAATTCGAGACCACGTTATAGCTTACCTCATGCTGAGGACCATTTACAGGCCTTGCCAGATACCTTAGTATAGATAAAAGGGTACACAAGGCATTATAGTATGGATTAGGAATGCCACAAGAGCCTAAACTAAGAAACCTGACCATTTCTAGGCATTGTTCTTATGTTTTTCTGGGGAGCGATAGAAGATGGTTGCTCAACTGAGGTTGTCTATGCCTGTTAATTCTTATTAAATATTCCTATACTTGTATCAAATAGTAAAAGTACAGTTTTTTACGATGTAATTTGTTATAACTGGGGAGGTGATGGTCGAATGGTATAATTGTTGCTGTGTTGATCCAGAGACCCAGATAAACGTTCTGGGGACCCGGGTTTGAATCCCGCCACAGCAGATGGTGATATTTGAATTCAATTAAAAGAAAATTCTGAATTAAGAGTCTAATGATGCCCATGAATCCATTGTCAATTGTTGGAAAAGCACATCTGGTTCACTAATGTCCTTTAAGGAAGGAGGCTGCTGTCCTTACCTGGTCTGGCCTATTTGTGACTCCAGGCCCAGAACAATGTGGTTGACTCATAACTGCCCTCTGGGCAATTAGGGATGGGCAATAAATGCTGCCTAGCCAGTGATGCCCCCATTCTGTGAATGAAAAAAATTCATGTATCAGGGCATCCTGATCCCTCTGTACCAAAATGTTTTGCAGTCTCTCTCCAAACAATATAGTGCTTACTCTTCTTCCTGCCAAAGTGGAAAAGTTCACATTTTTTTCTGCATTGGACTCCATCTGCAAAGTTTTTGTACACTCATTTAATCTATCCATTTTTTTTTATTCATTTAATGGGCTTTGGGTGTCACTGCTAGATGAATTGCCCAGAGGGGGTTTAGAGTCAGCCACCTTGCTGTGATCTGTAGTCACATGTAAGACACCAGTTTCCCTCCCTAAAGGATATCAGTAGGTCAGATAAGTGTTTTTCCTGGCAATCAATAGTAGCTTTACAGTCACCATTACACTTTTAATGATTGTAAGTGGTATTACCTACTGAAGTGGGATTTGAACCTTGCTCCCCAGAGCATTACCCAAATCTCTAGATTAATACCACTAGGCCATCACCTCCCCTCTTAGTTGAGGCTTTGTCCTTTTGATAGCTTACTTTGCCACCTACCTTTGTGTCATCGGGAAATTTATTTATTATATATTCCTTCCCTTCATTTGTATAGATTGTAAATAGTTGAAGCCCAGCCCTGATGAAACTCTCCTACTATCATTTTGAAAATGACCCTTTAATCACTGCACACTGCTTCCTTTCCAATTTTCTACTCATGCTAATATGCTAACTGTAATATCATGAGCTTTTATATCGTATAGTAACTTATGATATGACACCTTGTGGAATGGCTTTTGGAAATCCAAATACGCTACACCCATAGGTTCCTGTTTATTCCCTTGATTGTTACTTCCTCAAAAGAACTTTAATCAATTAAATTTACTGTTCATAAAACCATATTTGCTTTCCCTGATTGTACACTCATAGAACCCCTACAGTGTGGAAACAGGCCCTTTGGCCCAACAGGTCCACACTGACCCTTGGAGCATCCCACCCAGACCTGTTCCCTTATAACCCACCTGAGCTACACATCTCTAAACACTATGGGCAATCCACCTAACCTGCACATCTTTGGACTGTGGGAGGCAACTCACACAGACACAGGGAGAACGTGCAAACTCCACACAGACAGTTGCCCAAGGGTGGGATTGAACCCAGATCCCTGGCACTGAGAGGCAGCAGTGCTAACCACTGAGCTACCAGGCCACCCATGTAAATCATTTACCTGAACCTAGGGACAAACTGCTTTTTAAATGAAGGATATTTTCAGATACATACCATCTTTTACTAATCATCTCATAATCAAAAGCAAAATATTCCTATAACACTTGAAATCATTGTACTGTAGCCTGTTAGGAAATGGGTTCACACTGCCGTTATCAAAAACTTGATGGTGTCTGTAAACCTTTTTTTATTATCCACTGTACTTATTATTCTTTGTCTCCATTTATCACAATGTTTACAATTAGGTCTATTTGGGCACTTGGAGGAAGGAAAAAGCTTCACGTCACCTGAACGGATCTAAAAGCGTAGTTTTTATTTTCCAATGAGCTCAGACTTGACATATCGACAAGATGTCGAAAATACCTTATTTTTAGGTCTTTTTAGTTTTCCGGCATGCAGATAAAGGATACCCGATCTATGTATGATTTTCTAAATACCCTCCCAATATGTCCTTTGAAATGGATTCTAGTATTTCCTCAAAGATAGATATTAGGCTAACTGGCCTATAGCTTCCTGCTTTCCATCTCTCTCCTTTCCTCAACTGAGGTGTTACATTATTGATTTTCAAATCTGCAGGAGCCTGTCCAGAATCTAGAGAATTTTGAAAGAACATTGACAATGCATTTACTATCTCTGCTGTCATTTCTTTAAGATCCTAGGATGAAGAGCATCATGTCCAGGGGAAATGTCTACCTTTAGTTTTAATAGCTTTCCCAGTATCTTTACCCAATAATTGTGATTGTTTAAATGCTCCTCCCCTTTTACCTCTTGATTTTCCAGTATTTTCATTGTAGAAGACACAAAAACCTTTTCAATTCTTCTCCCATTTCCTTGTTTCCCATTATTAATTTACTTTTCTTGCCATCCAAGACACTTTCCTTAGTTACTTTTCTTCTTCTAAATATCTGTGGAAACTCATACTATCTGTTTTTATATTTCTACCTAGCTTTCTCTCAGATTCTGATTTCTCCTTCATTAGTTTTTTAAAAATTCTTCAATTTTCAAAGTCTGTCCTGTTTTCTGACCGATCACTAATCTTCACAGTATCTATGTTTTTGCTTTCAATTAATGCATCCTTAACTTCTAATGATATATCCTTCTCATACAGCCCATCTTTCTCAATGGAATATACCTTTGCTGAAGATAGAATATCTTAAATGGGTGCCACTGATCCTGTACTGTCCTTTATATCAACTGTGTTCTCTGTTCACTTTAACCATCTTTAACCCCATACCATTATTTAAGTTCAAGAGACTGTTCCTAGACCCACACTTCTCACCGAACGGCAAACTGAATATAAAATTCTATTGTGGCATGATCACTGTTGCGTCAAGACTCCTTCATCATGTGACGAGATTACTAAAATAGCATGCTCGCTGATGGCACTGGAATATACTGCTCACAATTGCCTCAAATAGACTTAATAAATTCATCTTCCTTTGCCAATTTGCTATATACATTCAATGTAAAGGTGACTATGGCGATGCCATTCTTATAAGTCTGCATTATGTTCTCCTCCTGTTATACTCTGTTCTTCATTATAGCTATTAGGGAGCCTGCAAACTACTTCTTACCATTGCTATTTCTTATCTCTACGCATTGAGGTACAATCATAAATGCAGTCCCATGACATTTTACTCCTATTCGGGGATCAATACTCTTTGATAACTGTGTTCCTTATGCTTATTTATGGTTTTAGGTTGTCAGAGTAAAATCACACATCATCTAAGACATTGCACATCAGAGAAAGATTTGAAAAAAATCCCAATTAGTTATTTCTGCACTTATTAAAATATCTTCGTTTGATAAGATGGATGGTTTGCTGACGGCTATATGCTGTGTCTTTGGCAATAACATCTCTATGTAGCAAAACTGGAATCACTGGATAACGGGGCAAACTCCCCACTGGTTGGGGTATTATCTGGCA